ATAACAGAAAAAAAAAAAAAAAAAAAAAAAAAGTATTTTTTTTTCTAGTGGCAAATATTTTACTATGTATTATTAATTTTAGTTATAAATTTATACTTATTTATTTTTTATGTTTTAAAAATTTTTTATATAGTCTTACAATTAAAAAAGGATGATTTTATAAATATAAAGAATTTTGTTGAAAATGAGAAAAGTAGAGGAAATGAATATAATCATGTATTAAATATAATTGATTATAAAACATATCAAGATGAAATTTTAAAAATTAACAGTAACTCAAAAAATACCTTATCAGCTTACTTATATTCATGCAAATATTTTTTAAGTCAGTATTCTAAGAATATAGAATCAAACAAAAACGTTCATTTCGTTTTTGTATTTGGGAATATAACAGCAGATTTAGTAAAAAAAAAAAAAAAAAAAATGTGAAACCAAAAATATTGAAAACTATTTTAATTCATTAACATAAACTTATATGAATATTTTTTTTCACAGGATTCTGTTTGTTCTTCTATTATATATAGTTTTTTTTTATATATATGGTTTTGCTTAAAGAAGAAAGCAGAAAAGAAAAAGAATATTGATGAAATAAAGTTTTTTATTCCTGTTATTAATATTAAGAAGAATGATATAAAGCTTAAAATTTTGGTTAAAATATATTTAACATGTGTAAATTAATTCTTCAATTTTACGAATTTTATTAGATTGTGTAATTTTCCTTTTTTATTAATATTCTCACATTTTATGTATTTTAATTTATTTTTCAATGTATTTATATATTTTATAAAATTTAATAGTTCTAAAATGCTTCATATCACTACATTTAACTTTTATTTATAGATTACATGGTGGTTAAGAAAATCTGAAATACTTAGCGATGAAGATGTTTTTGTTTTTCAAGATGATATACATTTATTAGAAGTGTGAAAAATTAAAAAAAAATTAAAAAATTAAAATTTTTTTAACTGAAAAAAATTTTCTTTTTTTTTTTTTTTTAGGTTTTGAAGCATAATAACAAATATGATATATGTTTAGTTGACTTTAATGACTTTGAAGTAAATAATATATAGTTAGTGATTAAAAGTTAATTTTTTATTTTAAAAATATTTATCTATTTAAAATTTTTAGTTGTGTTTTACTTTTATTGTACATATATTATTATTTATTTATTTTTTTTTTTTTTATTCAATTTATTAGTAACATAAATAATGTAAAATCAATAATTGATCACCATATGATTAAAGAAGGATCAGAAAATAAAAGAATAACAAAATCAATTTATCCAATTTATATCTGTAGTTGTATGGTTATCATAGCATATTTAGTAAGTATAAAAAATAAAAAAAAAAAATAAAAAAGTTATATTTAATATTAATATAATATAAAAATATTTTACACTTAGTATAAAAATTCAAGTGAATTTCTTGGTATACCTTTTATTAATAAAAATATGATGTGGTTGATATATGGAACTATATTAAGAGGTTACAAAAAAATTAAAATAAAAACATATTTCCTTTTTTGATTCAAAATTTCTATATATATGTGTTTAATAAAAATAATATTGTGTGTACTTTTATAAAATCGCAATATATGAATAATTATTTTTTTTTTTAGATTCTAATAATTTCATAAGAGAAGATTTTGGTAAACGATGGATACAACCGTAACAAAAAAAAAAAAAAAATTGAAATGAAATTAATAAATTTATATAAAATATATTTTTTATTTATAGTAAACAATGAATGGAATAATTGACAATAATTATTATTTTTTTTTAGTGACTTAAACATATTTTTATCTTTAAAAAAATTTTATAAAATATCAAATAAAATGGATATATATCTTACCTATAAATATAAATCTATAAGATTTTCTGTTGATCTAAGAAAATTTGTATGAAATTAAAAAAAAAAAAAAAAAAAAAAAAAAAAAAGGATAGTAGATAAAACAAAAGTTTAAATTTATGTACACATTTTTATAGGGAATAGAAAATTTACTATTCTGTGATTATAAAGATTATAATTATCAAGTCTCACAAAAAAAAATAAAAGTAAAAAAAAAAAAAAATATAAATTTTATCTCCATATATTTCATTCTTTTTTCATTATATTTTTTTATATTAGCCATTTTAACATTTTAATATAATTTTTTTTTAATTTTTTTTAAATTTTAGATAAGGATTGCATCTATAGATTTTAGTGTAGATTTATTATTTTCTAATGAAAATGTGAATCGTTTAATTAAAGAATTAGTAATACCAAAAAATATATAAGAAAAAAAAAAATATATATATATATAATATATATATTTTTAATGTTAATTGTATTTCTAATTTTAAAATTCTTTTCTTAGTATGAATTATGCGAAGAAAATAACTTTTCTATTTTCATTTTTATTGGATCATATTTCAATCATTACAGTAAAATTTACATATATATATATTATTTTAAAAGGTAAATTAAAAAGGCTAATAATCTTTCTTTTTTTAACAGAGTTAAATAAAGATATGGGTTTATTTTTTTACAAAAATGATGTAAATAAAGATGGTAATAATTACAAAAAAATAAAAATTATATACTATTATAACAATTATTACTTGATTTTGTTTTAATTTTTTTTTTTAAATTATAACCTTTATAAGATTTATTGGACACCTTGTTAACTAATAAAGACATAAAACTTTCCAACAAAAGTTTTAAAAATATAACGTATAACAATAATTCCAAAACTGTTGATATTTTTCAAATTGTAATTAAATCTTTTTTAAAATTTTTTCACATTTTACTTTCATTTTTATTTTTTTTCAGTTGTTAATTATTATTTTATATATATATATATATATATATATATATTTTTTTTTTTTTTACAGAATAATCAAAATTACTCAAGAAAAAAGTTAGAATATCTGTTATATGAATTTTTTTTTTAATTTCTTCTCAAATTTCATGTTATACATATATTTAAAATATTATTAAAATTTTATGCTTTTGTATTTTTTTCTTTTTCTTATATTAAAAAAGAAAAATAAAAAATAAGTAAAATATATGATTATTATTAAGGTAACAAAGACATTAATTTTTTTTTTTTTTTTTTATCATATAAAATTTTTCAATAATTTTAAGAAATTCATTTTATTTTTAACCATAAAATCTAAATATAATAATCTATAAAAAATAAATTGTAAGAAGAAATAATATCATAACAATTAGGAAATTATGTAAAAATAAAAAAAAAAAAACAATATTTAAATTTAGACATATTTTGCACTAATAGAACTATGTAAATATGAATTAAAATAGTGCAAATTATATTCAATCATTGAAAAAAAATTAATATTTATGAATATAATTATAAAATTTATATATATTTTCAAAAAGCTTATGAAAAAATTTAAAGTTTATTATGAGCAGTATAGCTGATATAAATATGGAGGAAAGAAAAGAAAATAATAAATGTTCCACTATTATTTTAAAAAAAAAGGAAAATAAAGAAATTCTTCATTCTGAATTTGTACAAAATGATATTTTAAAAAAATATGATATTTTTTCTAATGTTTACACGTCAAGTGATGATTTTAACTTTGTCGATAGTGAAGAAGATATATTATCTAAAAATTTAGGTTTACATTATATGTATTTTTTTAATTTCTTAAAAAAAAACATTATGCTAATTTTCTTTTCATTTAAAAATATTTGAATGAAATTTTTTTTTTTGATACAATTTCTTTTAAAACTATTTTCTTATTATATATTAATTTTATCTTTTTCTATATTTAAATAGAAGATTCTAGTCAGAAAAATATTTTAAGTTTAACTGTTCATAATATTATAAATATTTATCCAAATAACGAAAGAAACAGAGAATTTAAAAAATATAAGGTTTAGATTTTTTTTTTTTTTTTTTTATTCCACGTATATGTATTGTTGTAATAAAAATATCATGTATTTTCTAATTTGAAGGAAAAAAAAATAGAAGAAAAAAGGAAAAAAGAATTAGATGAAGAGAAAAAAATAATTGAAAAAAAAAAAGAAATATATGAAGAAAAGAGAAAGAAGAAATTAGAAAAATATAAAATTGAAAAAAAAAAAAAGAAACTAATAGAAAAAGAAAAATATAATAAAGAAAATATAGAATATAATTATTTAATGGTTCAAAATTTCTTTGAATTTTTAATGAAAAAAGGAAAATGTAGAGATATTTATTTTTCATTTCATGATTTATATATTTCACCAATGAGATTATATTATTTTGCAAATATAGACATTGATCAAATATATTATTTAGGTAAATTAATAGAAATAAAAAATTTTTTAAAAAAAAAGAAGTTTATAAAGGCGTATTTCTTTTTTTTTAAATTATTTTTTATTTTTTTTTTTCATATGTAGATTTATCAAGAAAATGGTTACCAGATAATTTTGTTTCCATAATATTAGAGTTATGTTCATGTAAAAAAATAAAAATTTTGAATTTGTCATATAACAAAATAACTTACAACAGTCTAACACTTTTTTCTAATTTTCTATCAGTAATATATCTTAGATAATAATATAATAAATAAATTGAACAAACATAAATTAAAAATAACAAAATAAATATTAAAATTCCTAATTTCAGGAAAATAAAACGTTATTTAGTCTGGATCTAGGGAATAATGATTTAACAGATAATGGAAAGAATTTTGAGGGAATTAATAAAATTTTTGAATCTATTAAAAATAATAAAACATTAAAAATTTTGAATTTAGCTAATACAAATATGAATCATGTATAAAATGTTTTTTAAAAAATAATTTAAAATTATTGATTTTTTTTTTCAAATTTTTTTTCTTTTTTCTTTTATTATTAGAATAACGGAAATACATTATGCCAGATACTAAAAATTAATAAATCACTAGTAGAAATGAATTTTGAGAATAATAATTTTAGTATTGTCTAAAATCATAACAATATACAAAAAAAAAAAAAAAAAAAAAAAAAAAAAAAAAATTATATTCTCTTCTTTTTTTCTTTTTTATTATATATAGCACATAGTCAGAATTGCTCGATAATAGAAAAATTAAA